TGGCTGGCTTGTGTCTAAGCTGTTGGGAATACAGCAGCAATGAATGTGAACAAGCACGGATCTTTGTGATTGGTCTTAGAGTTCTTGGTGGATAGGTCTAGGGGTGGTTTAACTTGGTCACATAGTAATTAGTGCTGTATTTTTAGTTTTTTGAGAAGTCTCCATACTGATTTCTAAGGTGTCTGCACTAGTTTGCACTTCTACTAGCAGAATACAGCTTCCTGTTTCCTGCCCTCTCCAGCATTTGATGACAGCCATTTTGACTGAGATAGAATCTCAAAGTAGTATTAATTTGCGTTTTCCTGTTGCTTAAGGGTTTTGAATACTTTGAAAGATTTATTGTGTTCTTTATTTTGAGAACTTTCTCTTCATCTCTTATTTATTGATTAGCAGTTTTATCTGTGTGGTCTTTTATTTGTTCAGCACTTTATATATTCTAGATATTAACTATTGTCTGAAGCACAACTGGAAAAGCTTTTCTTCCATTCTATAGGCTGTCCCTCCGTTCTGTTCATAGCTTCCTTTGCTGCACAGAAACTTTAAATTGCATGTGCTCTCATTTGTTAGTTCTTGAGACATGATCCTATCTATTAAAATCCCATTCACAAAATCTTTGACTATTCCTGTCTTTTCTGATGGCAGTTTCAGTGTTTCAGGTTTTAAATTAGGTTTTTAAAAATCTTCTTTGACTTCTTTGTTGTATGCTGGATAAGAAGTGGATTTAATTTCATTCTTCTGCAGGTGCATACCCAGTATTGTTAGCAGCGTTTGTTGGATAGGCTCTCCTTTAAGAGCATGTTTTTTGGTATTGTTGTAAACATAAAATGGTCATGCCAGTGTGACCCTTTCCATCATCACAGAAAGTTGTATTGAATAGCAATGCATAAAGACAAAATGTTTAGATTCTGCTAGTTTGGCTAGCTTACTCTGGGAATTCCCTTTCTCCACCACCTTCCTGAGATTACAACTAGGCTGCCATGTCTGCCTGACATTTACATGAACTCTGGTCCTCAGATTTGTGTGAAAAGTGCTTTACCCGATTAACTGTTTCCCTACCCAATTCCTGAGATTTTAAGAGAAAAAGTGAGTCTAAAAAAGAGATTGACCAGGTTCCAGTGGATAAGCCCATGCCCAAGGGCATTAGGGGATGCCAATTTGACTCTATAGGTCTTAACATAAATAAATAAACACACATATATAATAGTACATGAAACTGGGAAGGGGTTGTAAGGCAGGCACAGACAGGTGAAGAGATCTAAATAAGATCAATATGTGTTGTATGAAATTTGCAAAAATTCAATTAAAAAACTGAAAAAAGGAAAAAAAGAGGTCAGAAAGATTAAAATTGTGATATACAGAATTAAAAATGAAGTGATTGAATGGTTGAACAAAAGTCAGTGACGTTTCCCCAAGTAAAAAACAACATTGAGAACCTAAGATGTATAGAAAAATATGATTGAATACATAAGAGATGTAAGGGTCACATTAAGATGTAGATATCTAACAGGCATTTCAAGTAGGAAAAGCATGAAGAGAACATAGGAAGAACTTGTTAAAGTCAGACAGAATTTTGATAATGTAAGTCATAGGTTAAAAAACCAAATTATATCTTATTACAGATGAAACTGCAGTAAAACGAAATGAATATAAAGAGAGATAATCAAGAAAGTAGCTTATTACAAAGGAATGAAGTTGTCTTCAGGTGGACAATGGGTCCTAGAAAACAAGGGGAAAGTTCTGTAAGGTTTTCAGGACAGTGAATTCTCAGCCTAAGGAGTGTTCCACCAGACCTCGAGGACATCAGACACAGCGAGATCATCCCAGTGCTGATAGTTTACTTCCTATAGATCTGATTTCACATAGTTAAAAAAGGAGTGTATTGCAAACAAATAAAAGCATAAATCAAACGAGGACATACATCAGTCTGTGAGCTATTCAGCCAAGAGGAAACAGGAGAGTGTTATAGGATGACAACAGATGCAGAACGAAGCAGAAGGCAGGAAGCTCCAGGCGGCTGACTCAAGGGGGGAATACGACAACAAATAGATGATTACTTAGAATAACCAAAGGATTTCGAGAACTTGAGGATGTGCCAAAGTCTCATAATAACTGGAACAAAAGAAAGACAATCAGAAATCTATGAAAATAAAGCTGTGTAACAAAGTGTGCATGCTCCAAATCTGTAGTGTCAATAAATTGTAAAGCGGAAGTGATTGATGGGATGGAACAGCATCTTGACATGCTGAGGATGGCTGTTTTCTCAGGAGCATTTTAGAAGTGGCAATATGATCTTGCAGGAGAAATGCAGGTTTGGATTAAAACAGAAAGTAAAGGGGACATCATGGGAGAAGGGGTGGAAAACTCATCAAGAGCCAAATGGCAGGGAGGAGGGTTGGGAAACCCTGCCTTGTGGGCATGACACTCACACACTGAGCCAGTAAACAGATAGGGGAGGGGAGCCAGTGGCAGGCCAGCGGGAAGGGAGCTAGTGGCTATCTTCAGGAATGTAGGCACACGCTTCAGTGGGTAACATCATGCCCAGTGGATCAAAAAACAAAACGGAAACCAGCAAAGAAGGCATAAAAGTGGGATGGAGACTTGATGGGAGGGAGAGGGTTGGTGGGAGTATGAGGAGGAAAGTGAGGATGGAGGGATGAGTGGGACCTGAATGTGTTATATACACATACGAAATTGTCAACAAATAAATTCACAATAACAAAAAACCCCAGAAAGCCAAAACAGTCTCATAGAAATGCGAATTTAATATAAAATATAGAATATCACAAATTTACAAAGTAAATAACCAAACATGCAGCACACACAGGCTTACTAGTGAAGAGAAGGCATATAGATTACAGATAATCTGCCACTGCCATGGGTTTATATCCTGATACATACCGTGGCATAGTAGAGCCCACCTTAAATGCCCTCAGGACACCTACATGAGTTTGCAGCTGGGCAAAAATCATCTAACAAGTCTGTTTTATAGTCGTGTTAAACATCTTGTGTAATTTGTTGAATACCCATATCTCAAAAGTACCACCAACACAGTACATTGTGCAATATTGGTTGTTTGCCTCAGGATTCTGACTTACCAGCAGGGCCCAGAGACAGAAAGAGTATGGGACTAGCCTGAGGAAAGATCTGAATTCAAAGCATGAAGTGCATTTTCTCCTGAATGCATATTGCTTTCACAATACCTAGAATGTAAACTTCTATAAAGTCATAGTGCATCAGACACTATATGCAGTTGGTAAGTCCTGACAATTCATGTAACAGATCGTCTTTTGTGTTGTGTGATTTCATTGCATCTTAGAGTTTGTCATGGCAATCCTTAAAGGCAGAGTCTCAGCTGCCTTAGTCTTAATTTAGGTTGTTATAACGAAATACCATAGAAAACAGAAATGAATTTTCTTATAGTTCGAGAGGCTGAGAGTCTGGGCTTAGCATAGATAGTTTCTGGAGAGGATTCTCCTTATCTTGTTCTGCAAGAAGGGAGGAAGGCAGAGCTTTGAGATATCTCTTCTTATAAAAGGAAAATATCTCTTATTTGGTCCCATTTTGATGAATGCATCCAATCCTAATGGTCTATCGAAGATTCCACTTCCAAATACTGTCCTAGTTAGGGACTAAGGCTTCAAAGGGATTTTGGGAGGATGCAGGCAGTCAGCCTATAACACATAGACTTAACATTGATCTGGACCCATAGTTTTAGAATTATAATACTATCTTGTTTAAAAATATTTCCATTCTAGTATTCCAAGACAGAGTTTGCCAAGTGGTGTTCTACCACACGAAATTTTAAAAATCACAGTTACAAACTGCCCTGTGTCTTTCAAAATCATCCTTAACTAAGTTGGCCCTTGATCTCCATTGCTGAATTTAGAGATAATGTATATTTTCTGTATCCACCTGCTTAGAACTCTCCAAAGTTTGATTTCCAAGACACTAAACAAATTGATTTTACTTAATTATGTACTTGAGGTTCATTGAAAGTATTCTAAAATAGTTTAGAACATAAAATGTTTTAGATATTTTAATTTTATTTTATATGTATGTAAGTGTACCAACATCGTGCAATGCCTGTGGAGGTCAGAAGAGGGTGTCGGATCCCCTGGAACTGGAGTTACAGACAGTTGTTAGCTGCCATGTAGGTGCTGGGAACTGAACCCAGGTTCTCTGCAAGAGCAGCCAGTGTGCTTAACTGCTGAGTCATCTCTCCAGTCCCAGAACACCAAAGCTTTTAAAATATGTTGACAGTTATTTTTAAATATTTTAATATATTTCAGTGAGCTAAATTCAAGAATATAACAAACAGAACAAAATAGTCACTGAAATTATGACAACTTTGTATTAAAGGCTATTTTGGAATGGATCATTCCTTGGTGGCTGCATTGATGATGCTTGCCACATACATATTTTACACTACAAACTGCAGAGTAGCAATTTCTGGTACATGATAAGATTGGTATGATTTTACTAATTAAAAATAATTAACAGGGGCTGACTCAGTGGTTCAGAACACTTACTGTTCTTGCAGAGGACTTGAGTTCAGTTCCCAGCACCCGTATTGGGCAGCTCACAACCACCTGTAATTCCAGCTCCAGGGCAGCTAACACCCTCTTTCGGTCTCTGTGGGCATCCACATACATGAGGTGCAGATGTACTCATTCAGGCACACACAGGTACATATAAAAATAAATAAATCTTGTAAAATATAGTTGATAGAAGTACCTCCTTACAGAGATAAATTCTATGACTATTTACGATATAGTGATAGTTCTATTTCATAATTACATTGTTCCAAGTGATAACTTTTGTTGAGGACAACTACCACTAGTGTTCTAAATGTAACTGTTGGATGTATTGTAATGCTAAAAGTGTTAAAGTAGGTGGATGGGAGTGAGTTCAGCCTGCCTTTGTCCAAATGCTGAAGTATCTGAGCCCACGTCTCTCATCCTTTTGCTGTTTCCATTGGTTGATGCTTTTTTTCTTTCCAGGTGACGATGCAAGGGAGGCCGTTAAACATGGTGTGGATGGTATCCTGGTGTCCAACCACGGGGCTCGACAACTGGATGGGGTGCCAGCCACTGTGAGCTTCTGAACAGGCTGGGATTTCTACTCGGGGTTTCTTTTCATCCTTGTTCTATGAATTTGTTTGCCTCGTGTGTGTGTGTGTGTGGGGTGTGGTGTGTGTTGTGTGTGTGCACGCGTGTGAGCTTTTCTGCTATTGTTTAAGGTGAATGCTGTGTGTGATTATGTGAGATTTTAGGTTTTAAATGTCACTGAATTATCTAAATTAGCAAATGCAATTATTTTTAACTAGCCCCGTATATCCATTTATAAACATTTTAAAGGCTCTATTCAGCAATAAGGTAGGGATTATCTTGGAACCCACAGGTCATGAGAAGCTGTGAGATGAACAGAATGACAGCGCTTAAGTCATAGCAAAGCAAAGGAAAGGAATGAATGAACAGACAATTGCAGGAGCACAAGAGCCTTTGGCGAATGAATAATTAAATTGAGAGCTAGTGAATTCTTGTTTCATTTTTAGGGTGTTAAGTTTACAGACCACTTTAGTGAGTTTTATGACAGAGGACAGGCCATCAGAGAACACTGGCATGCAACAGGTACTTACACTCTTTCCTAAAGCTCTAAAAGTGCCTACCAACCAAGTCTATGTACTGTGGGATTACACTGTGATTTAAAATCATAAAGCTGGAGGTTGTCAGCCCTTTCCCCTCAGTCTGGGTCCGACAAATACAGCATTTTGGGGGATATTAAATGTTGCCTGTAGGTAAAAAAGAGGTGGAAGGTGACGCCCTCTTTGAAGCAGGGTGGAGAAGTTGGTCCCAGCTCAAAGCATTTCCCAGATTTATGCCTTACTTGTGCATGAAGACATAGACTCAGTGTGCGGGCCAAATTAAGTTTGTTTTCTAAAAATAAAATATAAATCTACTGAAATCAAATCTAACTAGATTTTAAGGGGAAAATATCTAAATGGTGTGGTTTCTTTCCCTCTGGCCGAGGGCATATGGAAACTTATCTAAAAGGCCTTTTTGAGTTGTGGTCTCAGAGTCTGTTTTTAAAAAAACAATAACCCTCCCCTTTGCATGCTGTGTGCATGAGAGGAGATACTTGCTTGAGTCTTGCCTTATACTTAGAGCAAATTTAAGGCCCATCTGGGGAGAGAGATAGGGAAGGAGTCAGTTTATGGTGAAAGGTGTTTTTCCTTTGCTGTGTGGGTTTAGAGGTGAGTGACCAAAGACTTGAAGGAGAGTGTGGTATAAAAATTTTTACTGGATGAAAGAAGGTCTTACTGTCTTGTAGACTTGCTTACATCATAAGCCATGGCACAGGGAAAGTATGACGTCATGGAGGAGCACTGAAGTAGGAGTCTTGGGTTTGAGTTATTGTTTTGACTCACTTAAGAGGTGGGAGAGCGATCACTCAGACTTTGATGCCTTAGCTCTCAGTGTTGTAGTAGTTTTATGAGAAAGCGGCTGGATGGTAAGAGTCTACATTTCTGTACCTTGTAGAGTCCCTTTGTATGGGGAAATACTTATCACTTGAATTCCTAGACCAGTAATTTAACTTAAGTTCATCTTTACAGATTGTTCTGTGAACTGCTGACAGGCCTCTACTATGCCTGAAAGGAATTTAAACATCCAAGCTCATCTTGAAGTTCCTATCACCATGACAATGAGACTCAGACTGACTTTAAAGGAATTTGAGAGTAATATGGCAGAACAAAGTTAATTTCTAAAGGCTTTAGAACTGCTTTTTTTTTTTTTTGGTGATACTCAAGTTTTTTACAACTTGCATGTTATAAAACCCCAGCAACATGCAAGGCAAGCACTCTTACTGCTAAGCTATATCTCCAGTCCAATTAGAACTTCTGAAACTGTGTTCTCAAGACATACTCTCTAAAGTGTTTGAATCCTTAAAATCTTTTTTCAAATTTCCGTTTCATTTTGATGCCAATTGGACCCAAACTACCTAAGACTTACACATACACTGTTATTTCCACTGAAAAGTTCTTAGCTTCAAAACATATTCACTGAATAAACATTTGTGTAATTAATTTGGTGATTCTCAAATTGAATCCTTGGGCATGTCTTGTATGACCTACGAAATGTTATTTTTTTCTTTTAAAAGGGGTCCTTGGGGCTAGAGGTGGAGCTCAGTGGTACAGTACTTACCCAGTGAGAATCTGGGTTTGATCTCTAGTGCCAAAATTATAGAAATATAAAATAAAATTTAAAAGCATATTATATATTTGTCACTCTTAAGGCTTACTTATTAATTGGCTTTGATAGGTAACAAATCACCCTGATATTTTCTAATTAAAACAACACCTAATTTTACTTTTCCCAAATTTGAGGATTGACAGTTGGACTAGGAACTGTGAGTTTGTGGGTTCTGGTCTTGACAGGCACTTCGGTGCCTGTTACCAGCTGCTTGGTCTGTTGGGATAGCCTGGTATGGGATAATGGGATAGGCTCATTGTCTCACATCTCCTAGCCCTTGGGAAAGTTTGTTTTCATGAAGAGGCAGGCTTCCTGAAGAGTCAGCCCAATCTATTAACCAAGGCTTAGAAGTGAGACAGTGTCCATGTCTCTCATGGTTCATTAGTGAAAGCAAGTCACAATTCAGATCCCCATCCCCAACCCTACCCATGCCTTACTGGGACATAATCCACTAAGAAATGAAGATAAAGAGGGTTATCACTGGTGCCATTTTTGTGATTGTTAAACCTCAGGGCTGTTGTTTTTCTGATTGTGCTTGGTCTGTCCTGTGATGTATAGGTAGGGGTTTGGGAAAAAGTCAGGGGGATTTAATGGCAATGGCTTGGACTCTGTTTCCTTTGCCTTGACTAAAGCAGCTCTGATTTAACTTGATCTTTTTTTTATGGTCAGCTGCTTTGGTTTGAGCATTTTAGGTTCCATAGTCAAGAGAATAACAATGGATGCTACATGGATCTGTGGCAATGGAAAAGAAGGAAGCACACAGAACCATGTTAGTGAGCTTGTCTGTAGTGTTTCATTCTGTCTGCCCTGATCACAACTGTTTCATGTAATAGATATCCAGTAAAACTACCAAAAGAAAGAGGGAGGCTAGAATTGCTTAACGTTGGATAGGACTTACCTGTTCACAGACACAGAAACGCAAACACGGCTCCATTTTATAATCCAGGATTCATATTTTAGCTATCATTATTAGTATACTTTTAGGCCAAGTGAGGCATTGGAAATAACATAAACAGAATCAATTTGTTTGACTTTGAAAATGTGTATTGAACCCAAGCTAGCTAATATTTTTCTTTGGTTCTGGTTTCAAATGGGGAAATATGCTTAATTATAGCTTGCATCATCGCTTGGAAATTGCAGCATTTATATGTTGGTGTAACTTGCCTGAATGTAAAAGGAGGGCTATGTATAGGGAAGGGGATGTATGTAAATGGATCCTAAGCATGTTTGGCAAGGCACAGAAGCCAAAAGGGAAAGGGGAAAATTTCACTACCTGCCAAACATTTAGGGGCCACTTGCCAAGTGTTGCCTCTACTTCCTCCAAATTGTAGCTCTGTTTGGCTTTCAGCCTTTTACATAAAACTCCATTTAAGTTTAGCTACTAAAATTTTAGAGGAGAAGTAGGAAAGCCTTTGAGTGATTTCAACACCACTATTTCTGGAAAAAGTATGGCTTAAGTGTGCGGTAGCTTCACGGCCTACATGATTCGGGACTTCATTTTAGATCTAAACATTTGGAAATGGGTGTAGGTAATTTCTATAGATTTTCACCTACATCTAATGAGTCAATTGTATTAGTTAGTTATTGCTGTGGCTCCAGGAAGAAACTCAGTGATTTAAATTGACATTTATTCCTTTGAAACATCCTGTTACTGCGGTCTCCTGATCCAAGCTTGGGACTCGCTAGTTGGCTGGCTCCGAGTTTTAGTACAGCTGGGCTTGACTCAGATAACTCTGCTTCCTGACTAGTCCTCTTGGGGCCCATGATCTGAGGGAACATGATCCAGGGGACACTTATGATAATGACAGAGGCACAAAAAACCTGACAATGTGGAAGGTCAGTGCCCAGAAATGGCTCTTTACCTCTTCTGCTCACATGTTGGTGTCAAGGTCAAGGTCAAGGTCAAGGTGTGGGAAAGTACACTCTGTTTTGTTTGTTTGTTTGTTTTTTGAGAAACTATAAAACTGTCTTGCAAAGAAAATGGATTAGAAGTATGGAGATTCAGGAAGGATAATGTAAGGCACTGCTTAGACCTTGTGGGGATTCTCTGTGGTAAGCAGAGTCCATCATCAACTGCCAGTCAAGACAGGGACCTGCAACAAAGTGGCCAGATTCCTTTAATTGGAAGGAAAACATTTTCACAGTGATTAGATGCATATCGGCATGTAAAGTGTGTTAGGCAAGGAAATCAGAAACTAGCCACACTGTAAACACCACTGCTTGAACTATTAAATGTGAATTTTAAGCGTAAGTTTTCAGTAAATAATGTTACCAATAAAATACTTCATTTACTTTTATAAAAGATCAAATATTCTAAAACTATGTTTATTATTTTTTTAAATAAAATACTTGAGTTTAAATGTCAGGAATAGAAAATTTAGCTAGTCTTTGAAAAAAATACAAGCTATACAATCCTAAATTTGCTTGAGTGTGTAGTCAGCAGTATTTTCACTTTTTCTTCCTGGAGGAATGATTTCATTATTCATCTTAAACCTGCTTAGGTCTTTTTCTCTGAGCTCCCTTGGGTGGGTTTGGAGTCACCTGAGGTGAAGCTGGGTAGCAATTTTACCATTGATAGTGCTGCATTCTTCCTGCTTCTCTCCATAGATTGATGCCCTGCCGGAAATTGTGGAGGCTGTGGAAGGGAAGCTAGAAGTCTTCCTGGATGGGGGAGTACGGAAAGGCACTGATGTTCTTAAAGCTCTGGCCCTGGGTGCCAAGGCTGTATTTGTGGGGAGACCCATAATCTGGGGGTTGGCTTTCCAGGTAATTAGAGAAGAAAATAAATAATATAAAATACTTGAATAGTGAAATAAATGCATGAAATTAGATTGTTATGCCCAATGGTCTTACAAATTTTGCTTGCTTAGGGGGAGAAAGGTGTTCAAGATGTCTTAGAGATTCTGAAGGAAGAGTTCCGGCTGGCCATGGCTCTGAGTGGTAAGGCTATGCACAAGTTACTTCTTCATTGCTATGACAAACTACTTGACACACACACACACACACACACACACACACACACACACACACACACACACACACACACACACACACACACACACACACACACACACACACACACACACACACACACACACACACACACACACACACACACACACACACACACACACACACACACACACACACACACACACACACACACAACTTATTCAAGGGAAGATGTGTTTGAGCTTATGGCTTCAAAGAATCTCATCTATCATGATAGGGAAAGCATCACAGTGTTCATGGCACCACAGTAAGAACCTGTTTACTTTGTGGTGGTGTGGGAAGTAGAGAGAGGGAAATGGAAGCAGGGACGAACTGAGCTACCACTGTCAGAGACCTGCCCTCAGTGGCCTAGTTTCACCATCCAGGCCTCACCTCTTAAAGGTTCCACAGCATGCAGCATTCGAGCCTGTGATAAACACTCCAGATTCAAACTGTAACAGGCTCTCATTGTCACCTAACCACTTGGGCTTCTTCTTTGGTTACGCTCCTTGGTATAGAGAAGATTTGAGGGGAAGAGAATGGAACAGTTGGGACACACTGAATTTGCAGTTGGCTTTGTTTGTAGCTCCTCTGAAGAGCACTCTGGGACCAAGGGGTTTTACAGTATGCATAGGTCTGTGACAGTTCCTTAGCCTGTACCTTGCAGGCTCATAGAGATGCTTTGGTAAGCATGAACACTTCAAAGGTAGGTGAAGCACCATGCTCTCTCTCTTCTTAATCCATACATGCATAGATCTAACTGGTCAATTTGATGACTTGGCTGTGAGACAGGTCAGACTCTACCTAATGAAAACAAAGCCACTAACTCTATTACATCTGTTCCACTTCACTACATGTTCAGACCAAAGTTTCAGTTGTCCTGGCCCAAGCTCTCAAGTCTTGCCTTTTCTTTCTCATCTGGACATCCAGAAGGGTTCCATTATTACAACATAACTTGAATCTGACCTCAGTCACTACCCCGACTCTGACGGTCTGACTGCCCCATCATCCTCTCTCTTGCTGTGAGGATTGGGGATCTGCCTTTTGATCTTTGCCTATATTCCTTCTCTCAATGTTTTGAGCAAGGTAGCCAGGATGGCCATTTTTAACATTCACTTAGCTTATGTTTTTCATGTGCTCAGAACCCTCCAGTGGATTTTGACTTATTCGGCATTTATGCCAAAGTCCTTGCAGTGGTTTACAAGGACTCTGTGACCCTTATGGTCACAGCAGTCACCCTTGTTGTCCTTATAGCACTCAAGTCTCATTCACCCCTTTGAGGAAACTTAATCAGCTGTGTTTCAGTCTTGCGGCCTCTGTGCTGCCTCTCCCCTTGTCCTGAACGCTCCCCAGACATCTGCACGGATTTCTCTGCCAGTCAGGCTTTTGTGTGAACTGTTCTTTTACAAAGCGACCCCTTTGACTGCTCATCCTCCACACCCCGGCTTCCTTTCCCTGTTCTTCCTTTCATTCTTCGTCTTTAACATCTGTCACCTCCTGCATAGCATCTGTCATAGTTTATTTTTTAAAACAGCATGCATTACCACTTTCTCTGTAGAATATGAAAAGTCTGACACAAAGATCTTTCCATCTCTAATTCACAGCAGTGTTTTTAGTGCGGAGAACGGTGCCCGGCACGTAAACAACAAATGTTTGTTAAAAGAGTTAATAAGCAAGTGGTGCTATTACTGAGGATTCCATAAAGTTTTATGCCGAATGAACCTCTAGCTGAAAAAAATAAAGCCTTGAGTGCACTACCAGCTTCCCCATGTAAAGGTGAAGTGAGATCCCTTTCCTGTGATTCGCATGGTCCAAATCGCCAGATAGCTACAGCTCCCGAGATGGATCGTCTCTTTGCTCCTGTGCAGCCCGAGCCTGTCAGAGCCTTCACGAGAAGAATGCCATTCTGTGAATCCTCACTACACATTTTAATTTGCTGCAGACATATCCTAAAAGAGAGCTTTCAGCCTCTGGCTCTCTATTAAATGTGGCAGAAAGAATACACTCTTTGTGTTAATAAAAATATGTGCCAGTCATTTTGTGTTAAGGACTGTTTAGGTAATAAAAATGGTCTCATGCCACATAAGATTTGGCAAGCCTACCTTGAATCATAAACCTTACATTTGTCAAGTTTTACATTCCTTGGGAAAACGATTACCTGCCTGATTATTACTGCATCCATTTCATATTAAATGTATGCATTATTTTTTTCAGGGTGCCAGACTGTGAAAGTCATCGACAAGACATTGGTGAGGAAAAATCCTTTGGCTGTTTCCAAGATCTGACAGTGCACAATATTTTCCCATCTGTATTATTTTTTTCAGCGTGTATTACTTGACAAAGAGACACTGTGCAGAGGGTGACCACAGTCTGTAACTCCCCACTTCAATACAAAGGGTGTCGTTCTTCTCCAACAAAATAGAGATCCCTTTCGTTCATTGCTTTTGACTTTTCAATGGGTGTCCTAGGAACCTTTTAGAAAGAAATGGACTTGTATCCTGGAAATATATTAACTGTTAAAAAGAAAACATTGAAAATGTGTTTAGACAACGTCATCCCCTGGTGGGCTAAAGTGCTGGGAAACAAAAGATATCCTCTGGTAAAGTTGGACATAGAGAGCTGAGGTAAAAGATAATGACCTCACTGTTTATTAACCTGTGTTGTGGTAAGATATCCTTAAGATAGAGGTTCTTATACTGTAAGCTCAGCTTGGAAATACTGAAATGCCCAGCGAAACATGAGATGCCATGCTGAGAAAGCACGGGTAAAACTGGAATGGATGGTGCTAATCTGTGATTTTCTAGAAACGTCATTTTTAATACCTTGTTTCTTTGAACATAAATTTACAGCCATATAGTTAATGTGTGAATACAGATGAATGCTTTGTAGTATACATTGCCTCTTAATCAGAAATAAATAAGGCCTTTTGAAAAGGATCTATCTAGTCCACTCAGGACAATGTGGAAGTGCTTTAATTTTGGAACTCAAAGCATAGTTCTTGTTACGTACATGTCGCTGATTTCCTGATTCCACCTAGACCCTTTCTTTAGTCTTTCCTTCTCATTCATAGTCAGACTCAGGGTCAAGTATATATTTTGTGAAGCCATGGCCTATGAAAATTCGGGTTTCTTGTTCAGAAAGAAGGCACAAACTCCATTTCCTTATCCCATAGTCTTTTTCTTAATTTGATGTGTTATCTTTTGTTTTTTTCTGCTTAAAGCCATACTTCCTTGGATACGGGGAATTGGGGGCACTGCACCAGGGCAAGTGGAGACCTTTGGGGTGATTTTGGTGCCACCCTGGGCCTTGCTTTGGCCCTTTTTGTGCTCATGCACATGACCTGGCCATGGTGGAGAACAGCCATTAGTGAGCAGAGCAGCTGAGCCAGCAGCCGGGAACCCATTCCTGTGGCGTGGAAGTGTGGCAGAAGGGACAGCGTGTCATCCTGGACTCCCAGCCCTCAGCATATGCTCCACTTGACCCACCGAACTTCACTGGTCAGACATAAATTTAAAAGAAAAATTTTTAGTGTTTTTAAGTCAGCTGTCACAGAGTATCAGACCCCAAACAGAATTCCTTCTGAGTATGGAACCTGGCGACTGTAAAGATGCCAGTCCTTGGCCTGTTAGTTTAATTCCCAAAGAGTTTTGACAAGTGGGAAGTATACTTTGTATCCAAAGCAATTTTAAACATCTTCCATATTGAAGAATTGAACAAAGCCATTTAGAGATTCACCATCTTAAAAGATGATTATTATATTGCTGTATTACTACACTTTATTAGTCTGTGGTCTCCTCCATTCAGCCTTGAAGACCTAAAGCTTTGCTAAATATTAACATAGACATAAACATAGATTGTCTTTCTGAAATTCTTTCTGTTTGATTAAAATAAATAATCACTTACTCTGATAAAAGATGAATAGTTAGCTTTTATCCTTTTCTCCAGATGTGAAGAGGAAATATTATCCCCATATTATATCATGTTGTCTTTTCTAATTAATATTAATGAGAACAGAGATATTCCCAACTGATGCATAAATGCCTTTGTTGTTAGTGTGAATATTCATTTTGGCTACGCTGTTGGATGATGTTGCCTTGGAATGTTAACATCTTGGGAAATGAAGCTCCACAAAGCGGGTTTTATTCAAATTACAGTGAGAATGGGGATAACTCGCCTTAATGTGTGAATGTCTTGTAATTTTTTCAAATCCCAAGTTATGCAATATAGATTTCCATTTATGTCTTCAGAGTTGAATGATTCCTGAAAACTTTATGTTGGAATACTTTTCCATAATCAGAAAGATACAATTGTCTCCTTTTGGTTTTTAAAAGCGGGATTTGGATTCCCTTGAAACAAATACGTTACAGGAATGGCTGAAGCGGGGATGGCTTGCTCTGATTACACATCCCTCTCAGTTCTGTTGTTACATTTGCATGTACTTTTTCTGTTTCTAAGTTTCTTCTTGAAAATTAAATTTATTATTAAACAGTGGCATAAGACACAACATTCTGCATACTAGTGGGGCCTCATGGGATGTTTTGAAACATGTATGTACTATTTAATATTTACCTTTTCTCAAGAAAAATTTAGCTTCCTTAGTGACTTGTCTGCTGTGTTATTTCGTGTGCACAGTGTACTAAGGCTGTGCTCCTCAAACCACAGCCAGTATCAGAACCACTTCCAGGGCTGTTAGAATTCATTGTCGGGTCGCACCTGCTGTGGGTTCTCTTTCAACCAGATCAGTGAGCCAGTAGTTAGGTTTGAGCTGCAGGTAGAGGCCACATGCTACCTAAAAGGATCAGGTACTCTTTGGCAATTGGTTCTTTTTGTCACATTTTATTTCTTATTGAGTCATAAATGCCTACAGAGAGCACGAAAAATGGTAAAGCTGAAATGTGTAGACAGTTGGATTTTACATTATACAATGGCAAGACCCCTCCCAGACCAAGATATGAATGTTTCCACCAGACCCCACAGTACCTTCGCCTTCAGAGGTAAACATCACTGATTTCTTTTGCCACCGATTGGTGCTGGTTTTGAACTTCATCTGAGTGAAATGATATAGTCTGCGCTCTGGTCTTTAGAGTCTTCCACTCATCTCATGTAAAACTCTTTTGTGTTGTTCAGTATACCAGTAGTTCATTTTAGTTACTGGCCTATAGTGAGCCACTGAGGAGATCCTGCCACAATATCTCTCCTTAGGTGTTTGGATTGCTTTACTGGAAGCAGCTTCTGTTTTTCATGAACACAAATTCAGTATTATGATTTTGTAATTTTTCCTGGAAAACTATCCAGTTTGAACATCGAGCAAATCATGTTCCGTGTAGATATATATGGCTTTGGAGCCATTAAGTTCTCACTCTCTGTAACATCTTGTCCTCACAGATGTTTATAGCTTTCATGGCTGAAATCGTTCTTCTGCCTTAATTCAGAATGTTGCTTAGGACCTGCATAGTTTTGGGTGGCTTCCAATAGAAACTGCCAGAATTTCCTTTGCTTAGGCTTGCTTATCTCTTTCTACCTGGAAGAATGTGGTGCGAATAAACTTCCTTACTCCAAGCTTGGGCACTCGGTTCTCAGGTCTGTGGAAATGAATAAAGTGGGACTGTTGTTTCCTCGCGTGCAGTTCGCAGATCGCATCTGTGTCCTAGCTGTGTCATTCATTTGTGTGTTTATCTGGCCAAAACATTGGTGCTTGTGAAACAGCTTTACAGGGCTGCAGTGCATTACGATAGCATGAAAGGAAGTAGCGGCTTGCTCTCAACAGAAAAAATAGGTTTTCTTTCTCATTGTAAAATTCATAATTTCTCTACTCTCTGATGCATTGTGTTGCATAGTAACAAAGTAGTTTGTTTAGGAGAGTCTGAAGATTTCCTAGAACATAAAGACGTGGGCTGCACTCTAAACTTGTACTGCATAGGACATGTCCTTAAGATGTATGCTGTCACGTGCCAATTATAGAAAGACTTCAGGGTGATAGTTTATTTTAGGTAATATAAATGTTAACCTGAGTGATAGGAGGTCATTATTATATGTTTATATCATGGGGACTTTTATCTCTTTGAAGGATGCAATTTCCTGCCCTTATCCAAATTTGACTTGAGCAATAATGCACTTCTTTCTTCCCTGATTTGATTGTCCATGGATGGTTGAGAGAAAATAAGAAAGATGTTGCTTGAAATGAGTTGTTTTCTGTTTGCTTTCCTACTGGTAATTTTCTAAACTTAGATACTAGCTAGATTCAACTGAAAAATTTCCAGGATCTTCTAAAAATCAAGAATCGGGGGCTACAGAGATGGCTCAAAGGTTAAGAGCACTGGCTGTTCTTGCAGAAGACCAGGTTCGGTTCCCAGCACCCACATGGCAGTTAACAACTCTCTAAAACTTCAGTTCCAGGGGATCTGAGTCTCTCTTCTGGCCTCTGTTTACATTGCATGACATGGGTGCACTTACATGCAGGCAAAGCATTCATATATATAAAATAAATAAATACAAATTTAAAAATCAGGAAGTGGTGGACCCTGAGTGGTCTTGAAATGACCGCTGGAGTCTCTGTGAGCAGCATAATTGATTCTGCTTATTATTTTGCTTCAATATCACCTGGGCAAAGGTCATGGCCTGGTTTCCTCTGGTTATATCATTTATCTTTAAAGCTGATTCATTTTCCTTCTAGACGTCGCATAGACAGGGTCTTGATATTATATGCCAGAGTCTCTTTATCGTCTTCATGAAGGAAGGTCAAGGCTAACCTGGAGGAAAGCAGTGGAGTAAGATCCTGAGGAACTGAACATCTAGCCCTGTGAACCATAATTCAGTGCGAGGACCCTCTAGTCTCAGCTGTGAAATGACAGTCAATCCTGGCTAACCGAGTTATTGCGAACCTAGCAGGTGTGGAGAAATATAAGAAAATGTATTGCAAGTTGTGAAATGATCTTGAAAGGAAAATCTTATTAATGATGACTACTAATATGGGAGGTACTATGATAAGTGACAATGTACATTTATAATATTTACTTTGAAAAAATTAACTATTTGGTAAATTTTGTTTTTATTTTAAAATGCAAGTAATTCAGCAAAAATAAAAACAGACATTTTAACACAAAAAATCACCATTAAATATACCATCTCAGACACTGCTGTGTATATTTAATAAATAGCAACTGCATAGATAAACAGATAGATGCACGTTTACTAAAACAGGGCTTTACAATAAGTGTTATATTTAAGTAAAATGTTCAATTTATTCTAGTTTGAGTTTACAAGAGAAAATAAAATATAAGAGATTCTTTAAAAAGTGTTTTGAATAGCAATTTTATACCTTAAAAATAACTGCTCAATTTATATTTTTAAATTATGAAAGCTTAAGTGTTTGGGGGCAATTTTTGGTTTATGGCATACGTGTCAATTTTAAACAGCACAGGTAAATCATTGTTATGAAAAAGAAGTAATTAGGCTCTCACACCAATTCCTCTTTTCTTTTTCTCCTCCCTCATTTTGTTAACACATACTTTCTGAAGTTGTCATAGTACAAAGCACTTGTTTCTGTACTGGTAAACATTTCTGCAAACATTTTGTATTCTCTTTCGGCATCTAACTTCAACAGGGGAAATCGAGAGTGTAGTACTTTTTTCTCCTTGATATTAAATTAATCTGTTCTCATCACCAAAGTCTGTTGTCTAAAAATGCCATTTCTGTGCCTTTGAATTCCAATAATGTCAGCTAAAACTTCACATTAAAAAGATTATAAGACATATTTTTTTTCAAAAAAACTACATGTAACCCATTCTCTTTCATTTAAATATTTTAGAAACAAGTATGCCTCATTTTAATTATTAACACACATCTTTACAAAGTCTTCTTTTTTGTTATTTTTACCCATAATTTTTATTAACAACATTAATAAAAATGGTTACTATAAAAAGTTGGACACTTACTCCACGACAATAAACGTATTTTTGATACATTTATCAATGTATAGATTTTTTTGCTGCCTCACTATTGTTATGTGATGATAACAGTTCTTTATATCTGTACTGTCCAATAGAATAATCAATAGTCACATGTGGCTACTGGGCATTTGGAAAAGTATTGACTATTAAATGCTTCATTTTAGTTAATTTTAGTTAATTTCAATTTAAGTAGTCATATGCAGCCAGTAGATCTGTAATGAAAGGCACATATCTAGGTGTTGAGAAGTATCTTAAGAACTAAAGAAATTTAATCTAACAGATGTAAGACCAGTGGAATTGACCAATGGCTGCTTTGGGCAGTCACATAAAGTGACTGCAATGTAGCTTCGAATTTAAAATGTCATAGTAGCTCTTACCCCTCTGATGGGAAACATAAATTGCAAGAATGAAAAAGATGTGGTTCATAAGTTATTTGTATAAGAAGAATACTAATTGAAATAATAAATTTAATAATGTTTTAAAATTATTTGGAAGGAAAATATACTCCTCTAAAGTAGCTTTGGGTTTTTGTGTGCTTGGTTTAATTTCCTTAATATTTTTAGTTATGATTCGCTAGAGTAAAACTAATAATTTTGCCTAATATTTTTCAGTCCAGTTATTGAGAAGACACACTGTAATGAGGAAATAATCTTGAACTTCGTATTTCATTGTTTAGGTGGACTAGTAATATTAATGAGTAGAACATAATGATAAACTGATATGCTTCTACACTGTGAGAAAGGACACGTGTAAGTTGATATCAGAATAGGAGTCATGGTAATATGCAGCACATGGTGGAATGGTGTATCTTGGAAATCTAAAAAGAGTAAACAAATTTGTTAGAGTGAAGAATGCCCAGGAGAGAGAGAGAGCCCCATCTCATATGGTAGACAGAATGGAGCCTAGTAAGGAATTTTTTGGGAAGGAATTCTGGCATCTATTTGACCTAGGAACACCAATTTCTTTATCATATGAATAAGCAGCATTACCCAAGTCAAGGACATCTTTCTGGCCCTAACATTTTATTTCTTGATGTTATGTTAACTATTTTTAATGTAAATAAGCAAGTCTCTGAATTAAAAACAAACAAATCAAACCTCTGAATAGCAGTAGAGAGAGCTCTCCCTTAGTCAAGAATATAATTTTGGTTCAAATTTCAGTTCCAGTATTAGTTTATATTAAAGTCCTACTGTGTTAGCCAGCTATTTGTTGCTGTAATGAGATA